CTACCTCTATCAATTTATTCCAAGGAAATCATCAGACACACATAAAGATGTGTAAGTAAGGAGGCCAGGCACATTGGTTCATGAATCCCAGTACTTTGGGAGACTGAGGTGGAATTATTGCTCAAGGCCAGAAATTTGAGACAGATGAGCCTGAGCAACACGGCAAGAATCCATCTCTTAAAAAAAGTCATACTAAAGATATACAAGTAAGGATGTTGACTGCAGTGATATTTGCAATACTGAAAACTAGAAATAACACAAAATCACAGCAGTGTGTGAATAAATATTATGTGTCAAGTTCTCCAAGGCCAGTCAAGGAAACATTTACCGTAGGGCACTGGATGGAAAAAAACTGGTCCCGAAATCATCCTATGATCCTGATTGCTCAGATTTCTCAAATGTTTTCCTTTTTTTTTTTTTTTTTTTTTTTTTTTTTGAGACGGAGTTTCGCTCTTGTTACCCAGGCTGGAGTGCAATGGCGCAATCTTGGCTCACCGCAACCTCCGCCTCCTGGGTTCAGGCAATTCTCCTGCCTCAGCCTCCTGAGTAGCTGGGATTACAGGCACGTGCCACCATGCCCAGCTAATTTTTTGTATTTTTAGTAGAGACGGGGTTTCACCATGTTGACCAGGATGGTCTCGATCTCTTGACCTCATGATCCATCCGCCTCGGCCTCCCAAAGTGCTGGGATTACAGGCTTGAGCCACCGCGCCCGGCTTTTTTTTTTTTAAGATGGAGTCTCTCTGTGTTACCCAGTCTGGCATGCTGTGGCTATTCACAAATGGGATTATAGCATACTACGGTCTCAAACTCCTGGACTTAACGGATCCTTCCACCTCAGCCTCCTGAGTAGCTGGGATCATAGGCACACCACCATACCCGGCCTTGACTATTTATATACTACTAATACCTGCAGGTTGAGCATCTCCAATACAAAAATCTGAAATCCAAAATGATCCAAAATCGGAAACTTTTTGAGCACCTACAAGATGCCATTGTGGGGAGAGGGGCTGAGATAGTGACACTTGGGTTCTGATGGTTCACTGTCACAAACTTTGTTTCATGCACAAAATTATTTAATATAGTGTGTCAAATTACTTTCAGGCCATGTCTACAAGGTAAGTATAAAATGTAAATGAATTTTGTATTTAGACTTTGGTCCCATCCCCAAGATACTATGTATATGTAAATATTCCAAAATCTGAAAAATATCAGAAATCCAAAACACTTCTGGTCCTAAGAATTTCAAGTAAGTGATACTCAACCTGTATCAGAAAACCTTGGCAGAGCATCACCCTAATACCAAAACCAGGAAAGGACATAACCAAAAGATATCCTTGATGAACTTAGATGCTAAAATCCTTAACCAAATGCTAGCTAACTAAACCCAACAACATATCAAAAAGATGATCCACCATGGACAAGTGGGTTTCATACCAGGTATGCAGGAATGATTTAAAATACTCAAGTCGATAAATGTGATACACCACATATACAGAATTAAAAACAAAAATCAGGCTGGGCACAGTGGCTCTCACCTGTAATCCCAGCACTTTGGGAGGCCCAGGCAGGTGGTTAGGAGTTCGAGACCAGCCTGGTCAACATGGTGAAACCCTGTCCCTATTTAAAATGCCAAAAAGTAACCAAGCATGGTGGCGTGCACCTGTAACCCCAGCTACTTGGGAGACTGAGGCAGGAGGATCACTTGAACCCAGGTGGCAGAGGTTGCAGTGAACTGAGATTGCGCCACTGCACTCCAGACTGGGTGACAGAGCAAAACTCCATCTCAAAAAAAATAATAATAATTAAAAACAAAAATCACATGATCATCTCAATAGATGCAGAAAAAGCATTTGCCAAAATCCAGCATCCCTTTATTATTCGAACTCTCAGCAAAATCAGCATACAAGGAACATACCTCAATATAATAAAAGCCATCTATTACAAACCCATAGCCAACATAATACTGAATGGGGAAAAGTTGAAAGCATTCCCTCTGAGAACTAGAACAAGACAAGGATGTCCTCTTACTACTCCTCTTCAACATAGTACTGGAATTCCTACCCAGAGCAATCAGACAAGAGAAAGAAAGGGCATCCAAATCCGTAAAGAGGAAGTCAAACTGTCACTGTTTGCTGATGATGTGATCGTTTACCTTGAAAACCCTAAATACTCCTCCAGAAAGCTCCCAGAACTGATTAAAAAAAATTCAGCAAAGTTTCTGGTTATAAGATTAATGTACATAAATCAGTAGCTCTCCTATACACCAATAGCGACCAAGCAGAGAATCAAATCAAGCACTCAATCCCTTTTACACAGCTGCAAAATAAATAAATAAATAAATAAAATACTTAGGGATATACCTAAGCAAGGAGTCGAATGATCTCTACAAGGAAAACTACAAAACACTGCTGAAAGAAATCATAGATGACACAAACAAATGGAAACACATCCCATGCTCATGTATCAGTAGAATCAATATTGAGAAAATTACCATACTGCCAAAAGCAATCAACAAATTCAATGCAATCCCCATCAAAACAGCACCATTATTATTCATAGAAATAGAAAAAACAATTCTAAAATTCATATGGAACCAAAAAAGAGTCCACATGGCCAAAACAAGACTAAGCAAAAAGAACAAATCTGGAGGCATCACAATACCTGATTTCAAACTATACTCTAAGGCCATAGTCACCAAAACAGCATGGTACTGGTATAAAAAGAGGCACATAGACCAGGCGTCCCCAAACTACAGCCTGTGGGCCGCATGTGGCCCCCTGAGGCCATTTATCCAGCCCCCTGCCTCACTTCAGGAAGGGGCACCTCTTTCACTGGTGGTCAGTGAGAGGAGCACAGTATGTGGCGGCCCTCCAACAGTCTGAGGGACAGTGAACTGGCTCCCTGTGTAAAAAGTTTGGGGACTCCTGACATAGACTAATGGAACAGAACAGAGAACCCACATACTTACAGACAACTGATCTCTGACAAAGCAAACAAAAGTATAAAGTGGGAAAAGGATGCCCTTTTCAACAAATGGTGCTGGGATAATTGGCTAGCCACATGTAGGAGATTGAAACCGGATCGTCATCTCTCACTTTTTACAAAAATCAACTCAAGATGGATTAAGAACTTTAAGACCTTGAAACTACAAAAATTCTAGAAGATAACGCTGGAAAAACCCTTCTGGATGTTGGCTTAGGTAAGGGATTTTTATGACCAAGAACCCAAAAGCAAATGCAATAAAAACAAAGAGAAATAGTTGGGACTTAATGAAACTAAAGAGCTTTGCATGGCAAAAGGAACAATCAGCAGCATAAACAGAAACCTCACAGAGTAGGAGAAAATCTTCATAGTCTATATATCTGACAAAGGATTTAATATCCGGAATTTACAAGAAACTCAAATAAATCAGTAAGAGAAAAACAAACAATCAATCAAAAAGTGGGCTAAGGATATGAATAGACAGTTCTCAAAAGAAGACATACAAATGGCCAACACACATATGAAAAAATGCTCAACATCACCAATGATCGGGAAAATGCTAATCAAAACCACAATTCGATACCACCATACTCCCGGCCATAATTAAAATCGTAATTATGGCCATTTAAGAATGGCCATAATTAAAAAATCAAAAACAGTAGATGTTGGCATGGATGTGGTGATCAGGGAACACTTCTACACTGCTGGTGGGAATGTAAACTAGCACAGCCACTATGGAAAGCAGTGTGGAGATTCCTTAAAGAGCTAAAAGTAGAACTACCATTTGATCCAGAAATTCCACTACTAGGTATCTACCCAGAGAAAAATAAGTCATATGAAAAAGATACTTGCACACGCATGTTTATAGCAGCACAATTCACAATTGCAAAATCGTGGAATCAACCCAAATGCCCATTAATCAATATATATACACACACACACAATGTAATACTACTCTGCCATAAAAAGGAATGAATTAGCAGCATCTGAAGTGACCTGGATGAGATTGGAGACTATTATTCTCATTCTAAGTGAAGTAACTCAGGAATGGAAAACCAAACACTGTATGTTCTCACTGATATGTGAGAGCTAAGCTATGAGGATGCAAAGGCATAAGAAAGATACAGTGGACTGTGGGGACCTGGGGGAAAGAGTGGAAGGAGGGAGAGGGTTAGAAAACCACAAATATGGTGCAGTGTATACTACTCAGGTGATGTGTGCACCAAAATCTCACAAATCACCACTAAAGAGCTCATATAACCAAATACCACCTGTACCCCAATAACTTATGGAGAAAATAAAAATAAAATAAAAAAAGAAAACCTTGGCAAGATGGTTACTAAAATGTTAGCAGTGGTGATCCTTGAGCAATGACATCACCAGTGATTTTACTTTTCTTTTATATGTTTTTCTGACTCTTCCAAATTTTCTGCAATAGATGTCACCACTATAATTGGAAAAGAAATGTTTGGAGTTTTAAATATACCCAACAAGGCTGGGCAGGGTGGCTCACATCTGTAATCCTAGCACTTTGGGAGACTGAGGTGGGATGATCCCTTGAGACCAGGAGTTTGAGACCAGCCTGGGCAGCATAGTGAGACCCCTGTCTCTATATAATCTTTAACAAAAAAAAAAAAAAAAAAGGAAGTGAAAGCTGGAGGCCAAGGTCATTTGATGAATGAGGCTTGGCTTTACAAGCTGCTCATGCCCTCCTACCCCAGGCCTCCATCACAGTCCTCACATCTCCCATTTTCCCCTCCCATATAAATAGCAAAAACCAGGAGCCACTGACGCCAGTGAGACCAAAGAGAAAACTCTCAAGCAGAGAAATCAACTCGGCTTTAAAGACAGCATGTAATTGAGACTGGAGGCATCTGAATGGGGGCACAGGCTCCCCCAAGTTGACCTGAGTGGGCTGCTGGGGCAACTGGTGCTTAGCCTCAGAAGGGCAGTCTCCACTGGCTCCTCTCACCTGCCTGAGTTTCCAGTACCCAGAGAAAATGCTGAATACAGGCTGCAGGAAGGAAAGAACTGGATCAACTTTTATGTGGTTGTTAAAGAGGTAATACATGATTTAATTCATTCAAGAGATACAAAGGAATCCCAGTAGAGTGGAGTGTCCTTCCCACCCCATACCACACCTTCCCTCAACCTTCCGGCACCCAGTCTCCTCCCTGTAGGTAAACACTCTCCCTAGCTTCTCTAAAGTCCTTTTGGAGAGGACTTGCATATACACACAAATGAGAGTCAAATTTAAAATCTACTTCCTCCCTCTCCAGTGATTTTGGACAGTATTGAATGAGGAGCCCAGCAGCCCTGGGCTTTCATCTTTGTTCCGTCACTCACTGTGCATCTTCCAGCTACTCATCTCTGAGCCTTGCTTTTCTCTTCCGTAAAATGGGGTAAAAATCCCTCCCGGGTTACTATGTAGATGAAGCTGGATGCAGAACTATATGAAGAATTCCAATTGTTCCTGTTCCTTTTCTTTCTTTTCTTTTCTTTTTTTTTTTTTTTTTTGAGACAGAGTCTCATTCTGCAGCCCAAGCTGGATCACAGCGGTGCAATCTTGGCTCACTGCAACCTCCGCCTCCTGGGCTCAAGCAATTCTCATGCCTCAGCCTCCCAAGTAGCTGGGACTACGGACACGCGCCACCATACCCCACTAATTTTTTGTATTTTAGTAGAGATGGGTTTCACCATGTTGCCTAGGGTGGTCTTGAACTCCTGAGCTCAGATAATCCTCCCACCTCAGCCTCCCAAAGTTCTGGGATTACAGGTGTGAGCCACCGTGCCTGGCCCAATTGTATTTTTTAGGAACTACAAATAAATATGGAAAAGACCTGAGTCCCTGTGAAGAGGAAATGGGTTAATGGAGTTTGGGCCATCCCCACAGCTCTCTCTCCCAGGTAAAGAGTGGCTGGCTTCTCTGGGAGACAGAAGGTCCAGGCCTCACCCAGAAGCATGCTCTTGTATTCTTGATCTGTAGATGCCATTTCTGGCTTTGGACCTGGGGCCTTGACAATGTTGTATTCTCTGTCACATCTGGTCTTGGGGGCTACCACTTGCATCTCTGGCATAAGTTCCCTGCCCTACCCTAGGGTCAAATTTCCTGCTCCTGGATCAGAGAGGGGCATCTTTGCAGGCCTGGGAAGTCACTGACATCAGCCCAGCCACCCCGTTGTCAATTAATCTCCATAGCTCTATCTGAGGATCTGGGGTTCAGGGTCTGGGAGAGAGAAACTGAGACAGACACAGATGTAGGGGAGCCAGGCAGACAAGATAGCAGATTCCTTCACAAGGTAAGCCAAGAGCAGAACCAGAAAGAGAGTCTCTATTCAAGATCTGGGCAGCAGACACTGAATTAATGGCTGTTTAACTCCTGCTGAGTACAGGGCCCTGGGTGGGATCATTTGTCTGTCTTTCCATCCACCTGTTTGTCTTTCCAAAACTGCCTGCTGAGGACTAGCCAGAGACAAGCCCTATCCCTGGCACAAGGCCACATGCTAAGATGAATCAGATTGGGCGGGCTGGAACCAGTGGGTGGAAGACAGAGGACGCACCAGGTGGAGGGCACAAGGACCAGGGTTGTGCATGGAAAAATGCTGGACCAAGGCAGGCACCGGGGTTTAGTGCAGGGTGGAGGGCCTGAGCTCCCAGCGGGTGTACTGAAGCTCATGGGGAGGTCAGAAGAGGAGGGACAAATAGCAGGCTGTGGAGGGACAGGCAGAGTCCCTGAAGAAAGAAGGAAGCAGCAGAGAAAACAACAGGGAGGGTGGAAGTCAAAGCTTCAGGCTTGGTTCTATGGGCAAGCCACCTGGTGTCTCCCCGTCCTCATGCCCATTGGTTGATGCCACTCCTCCTCACTCCCCGTAGGGGGATCGATGCCAGTCCTGTCCCTGCATCTACCCCAGGGCGCCCAGACCCCCACACTCACAGCATACCCTTGTACCCAGCACCAAGGAGAAACGGTAAAGACCCCAAGGTCAGGCCAGGCATGGTGGTTCATGCCTGTAATCCCAACACTTTGGGAGGCCAAGGCCGATGGATTACTTGATGCCAGAAGTTTGAGACCAGTCTAGGAAACATGGTGAAACCCCGTCTCTACAAAAAAAAATACAAAAATTAGCTGGGTGTGGTGCTCATGCTTGTAATCCCAGCTACTTGGGAGGCTGAGGCAGAAGAATCACTCAAACCAAGGAGGTGGAGGTTGCAGTGAGCTGAGATAGCACCAGCCTGGGTGATAGACAGAGCAAGACTCTGAAAACAAACAAGCAAATGAAAAAACAAAACCCCCAGTGTATGGAGTGAGAACCCCAGGGAATGAACCCCTTGCCCCCTGGCTAGATGACCTTGGGCAAGTCACTTCACTTCCCTGGGCCTCAGTCCCCTCCTCTGTCAGATAGGGCTAATGGAAGCACCCAACCCTGTAGGGTAACTGAGAGGGTTATACCATAGGAAGGACTCAAAGCTTGGCCCAGCACCTACAACAGCCTCTGGCAAACAGGAGAAGCTCCAATTCTGGACACTTGATGGTCGGTGTAGTTTGCAGTTTAAAGGGGACTTTCCAACCCCAAAGGATTCAGGACCCAGAGCTCAGGTTCCTGGTGGTGGCATTTGCAGGTCTGGGACAAGCCTGGGGAAGGGATGCCATGTGCGGCACCGGCCTCTAGTGTCCCAGAGTGGGCACAGGTTGCTGGGGGAAAAGAGGGAGAGTCATCCAGCCAGGACAGGGGTGGGAGTCGAGGGGAGAGGGTTACTTCCTCCCGCCCTACATCTCTGCTCGGGGTTCAACGGGCTTGTCGGAGGGTGAGGGCGGGGCAGGCCGGCCTCTCTGGCCCTGCTGGGGGGTGGGGGGCGGGTCCCCCGGGAACTGCTCCTCCCGCCCGCCGCTGCTTTAAGAGGCTGCTCCGCGGTAGCGAGCGGGGCCAGAGCCGCAGCCCGAACAAGCGGACCGAGCCGACCGGGCAGGTGCACGGCTGCCGGGACAGCAGCGGCATGACCGGCCACCACGGCTGGGGCTACGGCCAGGACGACGGTAGGCGCCGACCTCCCCCACCACCCCCGGCTCGGACCCCGACCCAACTACACTCGCCCCAACCCTCGTGCCCAAACCGGTTTCCCGGATCGGCAAGCTACCACCCTCCAGGCTGGGCCGGGACCCCTCTCCCATCTTGGTCCCCTAATTCGGCCCAAGCCTTGGTCCCCAGCGCCAGGCGCAAAGTCTGCGCTGTACCCCGGGTGGTCCTGCCGCCAGCTAGCTGCCCGGCGGCTGAGTCCTGCCGCTTCCTCTGCGAAGACCCTGACTGCCCAGCCCGCTCGGACCCAGGCCCCGACTCTCACTCACTCGTCCAGGGCGTGCGCAGCGCGTGGGGGTGGCCCAGGGCTGCGGAGAGCCGGCGCGGCGGAGCGCTGTGCGCGGGTGTCTGTGCGGGGAGCGCGCACGGCGGGTGTGCGGGGACCTCGGGGGATCGGGGCTCGCGTGGCAAGGGCGCAGTGTCCCCCGGAGAGAGTTTCCCCGCGGACGTGGCCGAACTGCCTTCTTGGCTGGTACCTGAGGGAAGGGAGCACATGCGGGCGCAAGCATGTGTCTAGGTGTCTACACCGAGCGGGTGTTTGCACACGTCCGGGTGTGAGTCGTGGGAGCCCGTGGCCCACACCAGCCTCCTGGGCTGATACGGAAGAGAGCTCCTCTATCCTGCCTCAGTTTCCTTAGGACGCAGAGAAAGGGAGAAGAGGCAGAAGGTGAGAGCCAGACGGCTGGAGCGTGGGTCTGGGGCAGTCAGTTCCCTTTGGGGGCCATTTCTTACCGAGCACGGGTGGGGGTGTGGGGCTTCCCTATTTCCCTAGGGAACCAGTGCAGGACAGGTGGGGTGCGCAGAAGAGAAAGTAATGGTGGGAGGAACAACCCCCAGCCCCGCTCCTGTGGAGAGGTATCACTTCGTGAGGGTGGGTGGGGGCCTACAGTCTGGAAAGCCAGAAAGTTGCAGTACACCAGAGGGAGGGTGCTGTTTAGTCTCTGGCTTCCGCTGGGACCCCAAGAACAAAGGAGCATATTTCAGAAGAGAACCCCCATATCTAGGCATGCAAGAACTGGAAAGAGATATTCAGAAAAAGATGATACAGACAAGCAGAGAGGGAGGGACAGACAGAGAAGGGGCAGATGGACGGGACCCATAGAGATCATCTCTGAGTACCTGCTCTGAGCCCCCTTTTGGGTGCTTCCCCCAGAGCCAGAGTCCCCTGCCTCCAGCCCTTCTTGCTAGTCCTGCCCACCAGCTTTGAGCATCCAGTGTCCTGTGTAGCCTGCCCCATGGGCCTGCTCCCCCAGGCAGCCGCCCCATCACCCAGGCAGCGCTGGGTTGTCCAGTCCTGGAAGGGAAGGACAGAGGACAGAGGTGCCGGCATGCGGCACTGCTCACAGGGCTTCAAAAATAACCCAGAGGGGCCGGGCCACGATTCTGAGTCATCCATTGGGGACACGGCTCTGTCGGCACCTGCTGCTGTTTTCTCAGGAAAACTTAAGAAGCCAAAAAGGGGGAGAAGCACCAGCCGGCAGTAGCTCTAAAAATAGGCTGCATCTCAGGATGTTCCCCAGGGAGATGCTGAGCCTCTCGGCTGCAGATGGATCCTCTGGGAGGCAGGTGGTGGGCGCCTGTGGGTGTGTATGCAGGTGTGTGTGTGTATGTGTGTGTGTGTGTGTGTGTGTGTGTGTGTGTGCATGGGCATGTGTTTTGCTGTGGTCCCTTTATGCAAACTTGAGTCTCCAACTGAGGGGTCTGCGTGTGAGAGAGCATATGTGTGTGTCAGATGCAGTCTGCAGGGCTGTGTGTTTGTACACATGCATGTTCTGGGCCTGGCTGCTCTGAGCCTACAGAGCCCAGGCCATGATGCACGTGTGTGTGCACAATGGAAGATCATAGAAAGATGAATGTGTTCATAGGAAGATCTCTATGGACTCGTAGGCACACATGTGGGGAGGGCAGCTGGGGGCAGTACAGGTATATGCTGTGTGTTTATATTAGTACATGTTCACGCACACATGTGTGAGTTGCCCTCAGTTCCCTCATTTGTGAAATGGGGATCTTGCTGGTTTCTATTTCACAGGTGGTTGTGAGAAGCAAATACATGTCACAGAGTCAAAGCTAGGTTGATATGAGTTTTTGTTTTTATTATCACAAACACCAGCACCGAATTGACCAAGGTGCAGAAAGAGGTGAGATACTGATGGGGTCAGGTCAGAGACTTCAGATGCCTGGAGGTCTCCCTGTTGGGGGTTGAGGGTTGGGGAGACTCATTACTCTGAGCCACCCCTGAACCTGTAGCTGTATTATGTTCCCTTCCATACAGTACCTCTCTGGGCCTCCTATCAGCACTGGAAGGTGAGTTTTAGTGAGGCCATTTCACAAAGAAATGGAGTCTGAGGGGAAATGGCAGAGCTGGGATTGGAACTCCAGGCCATGCAGCTCCAATGCAGGGGCTCACCTCTGAAAGGAGGCCAAAGGGACCATTCTCCATGGGTGTTCTCAGCCTGAAGCCCAGAGATCCTGGCTGGCCTGAGTCCTTGCCCTCCCCGCTACCTGCAGGCCCCTCGAATTGGCACAAGCTGTATCCCATTGCCCAGGGAGACCGCCAATCACCCATCAATATCATCTCCAGCCAGGCTGTGTACTCACCCAGCCTTCAACCACTGGAGCTTTCCTATGAGGCCTGCATGTCCCTCAGTATCACCAACAATGGCCACTCTGTCCAGGTGGACTTCAATGACAGTGATGACCGAACCGGTAAGTGGCCCCTGTCAAAACCTGGCACCTGGCCCCTTAGGGTCCTAACCTAGTGTTGGGGGGGTCTCAGGAAGCATGCTATGGTGGGCAAGGAAGGCTCCACCTCTCACCAGCTGTGAAGCCTTGGGCTGAGCCTCAGTCTCCTAATGCATGAAATGTGAGCAATAAGACCTACCCTCTTAGGTCATAGAGGGGAAAAATGAAAAAACTGAGAGAGATTGATAGAGCTGGCATAGAGCAGATGCTCAAAAAATGCTAATTTCTTTCCTTCCCTTTCTTCCCTTCCATATATTCCTACAGATCAGGTTTGTTTTCACTCCCTGCCCCGTCACTGACCTGCCAAGCCCTCCTCCCTGTGTGATTTGGCCAAGCCCAGCAGGGAGAGAAGGAAGCTAACATTTCTGTGTGCCAAACCCCTTGCTAAGGTCACAAACCACTCATTTATTCTTCTCGAGAACCCATCTCTCAGATGGGCAGATAGAGGCTTGATGAGCTGGGGAGTGTTAGAAGCAGCCTGGTCCAGCCCAGAGGTCTCTCTCTCTCTCAGTTCACCTACAACTTCAAGGTCCAACCATCTTGGGCCAGAGAGAGGCCAGTGGGAACTCGTGGCAGCTCCTTCCAAGGCCTCTTGCCTTACAGTCCAGGTATTCTCATGAGAAATTCCTAGGCAGAGGCCTCAGGAGTGCTGTTCAGTGAAGGGATTTCCATCCTTATGACTGGGCCTATGGTGGGAAGGATGGTGGAATGGGGCAAGGAAGGAACCTGCTAGAGTTTCTTGTGTAAGGAAGTATTAATAACTGGTTCCTTCCCCCTCCCTCTCCCCTACCCACAAATACAATAAAAGCACTCAAAGGCGCTTCAGTTTCAAATAGAAAATTAAAAGGCAAAGAAGATGGAGGAAGCCAGACCTTTCATGAGAAGAGTGATCTTACTTAGTTCTGAGTTCCCTGGTAGGCTAGGAAAAAAGAGAAAGAGGATTGGTTATAGTTCTTGCTACCAAAGAAAGGGAGTCTGGCAGATCCTCAGAAGAGAGACAAAGGATTTATTTCCTGGTACTGAATTCTAAGAAAAGGCTCCTACTCAAGCTTCAGGAAGGGGACATGGGGATCTACTTGACCCTAGATGATAGTTTAACAAGGAACAGTTTTCATATGACTATCCCTTCTAATAGCCTTCAGAAGGCACTGGGGGCTTAACTTAGACATCATTAGCTCAGTGAAGGCCACTGGGATGGGAGAAGACACAGGGGTACATGTCTTTTGGATCACTGATCTGTGATCTCACCTTCAGGCCTGGCTGGGGCTCCCTCCCCCACCCAGCATGGCCAGGCCTGAGGGCACAAGAAGCCAGTGAAAAGAGGAATGAGATGGTGCCACTCACCCACTGTGGGTCACTCTGGAGGTCAGATGAGTTGATGTCAGCAGAGTGCCAAACACACAATGAGTGCCCTGTGAATGGCAGCACATCTTTCGTGTGAACTGGGGGAGGAGGCTAATGAATCCAAGGTCAAGGAGTTAGGGAGGGAGCTCCCTCTCCAGGAGCCCACACCATGGGGTCCCAAGTGAAGCATGCTTGGAAGGTGGCGTCTGCAGACCTATCCGATTGCTCAGCCTGCAGGCTCAGCTGCTCCTGCTTCCAGGGTTGGGGCAGCCTGATTAGGGCCCCACCCACAGCCACCACCCCCAGACTCCTAACCAGTGCCCAGGACAGGTCGTGCTTCTTTAATCAGATCAGGCATGAAGGAGGAACTTCTGGACTGTCCTGTCCTCCTCCTTGAGGAGCCCACAGGGCCAAAGCCCTACCCTGGTCACCCATCAGGGAGGGGCTTAGTGGAACTCAGAGCCTGGGGTGTCATCTGATCCAGGAGCTCACATTCAAGCTTAGCTGGGGCTCCCTCCTCCTCCAGATCCCTTTCAGCTGGAAATTCTATCAGTCCCAGGAGGCCTCGTTCATGGCCCCAACTCACCAGGTATCAAAGCAAGAAAGTAACAAAACCAGGACAAGTGGGGCCCTCAGAAGAGGCCATCTCTGGGGGAGATGGCACTGGAGGCACTTGGGCCTGTCCAGGAAGGTAGAGACCCTCAGGAGCTACCCTCCTGCTCTGGAAAAATACCAAGTTTAAAGAAGGCTCAAGGTTCTAGGGAGGCTGTGTTGGCTGTGATTAATGGCTTGGGCTTTGGACATAAGAGTTACAAGTTCATACCTTAGTTCAGTGCCTTGGTGTGTGACCTTGGGCAGATGCCTTGCCACCTCTCTGCCTCAGCTTCCCCCTTTATAAAATATGGATAATAATAAGTTCTGTCCTTCATGGGCTACTATGCAGACTAAACAAAATAGTCTTTTCAACCTAACTCCAGATCAGAGTTCCAGACATGGAAGGCCTAATTGTCAGTGGTAATGGGGGTCCTGCGAGGCAGGGTCCTACACTCCATGGAAAATCAGGCAGGCGTGGGGAAGACAGCTAGAGAGCTATCCTTTGTCGGTCCCAGACGCCTCTGCCACCTGCGGGCTGTCAGGATTTCTGCCTTGGCCCAGCTCAAGGGACGGGGGTGAGGGAGGTGGTGGAGACCAGCCCAAGCCCAGTCAGTCCAGTGAATTTTCCAAATGAAAATGTATCCTACACTTTGGGAGGCCAAGGCAGGCAGATCACTTGAGGTCAGGAGATTGAGACCAGCCTGGCCAACATGATAAAACCCCATTTCTACTAAAAATACAAAAAATTAGACAGATGTGGCAGGTGCCTGTAATCCCAGCTACTTGGGAGGCTGAGGCAGGAGGATGGCTTGAGGCCAGGAGGTCGAGGCTATAATAAACTGTTTGCCATGGCATTTCAGGCTGGGTGACAGAGCGAGATCCTGACTCAAAAAAAAAAAAAAAATATGTGTCCCTTTCCTGGGCTGCTGCCCTGGTCCTGGCACTGGGCTGTCGGTCGTACCCTGCTGATTGCCACTTGCCCTACTTCTACCAACAGTGGTGACTGGGGGCCCCCTGGAAGGGCCCTACCGCCTCAAGCAGTTTCACTTCCACTGGGGCAAGAAGCATGATGTGGGTTCTGAGCACACGGTGGATGGCAAATCCTTCCCCAGCGAGGTACGGGCCCTCCTCTACTTGAATCCCTCTGCTATATAGGAAGGAACGCAGGCCTGGGTAGACAGGGCTTGTGGATGCCTGGGGTGGGGTGTTGGAGAGGGGGAAAAGGAGCACTCAGGACCTTTGGAAGAGATACCTTCTGCCCACCCCCGATGCAGGGTTTTCCATCTGAACCCTGCTCACTGCTGTACTTCCTGGTCTGTGTGTCCTGGAGTTTTCTGAAGGGCTATCCAGTCCCACTGCAGCCTTGCTGACAGCCCTTCAAGGGTTGAGTCTGGTATTCAAGGCTGTGCATGAACTGATCTTGCCTGGCCTCATCTTTCCCCTCACCTCTTTATACACTGAGCTGCATGTAATGAATCCCCTGTCCACACCTGGCTCCTTCATACCACCAAGCTTTTGCCTGTGCTATTCTCTCTGCCTGGAATACATTTCCCCAAGGCTTCCCTGTGATAATCCCCTATTTATTCTCTGGACTCGGCTCTAGGCACCACCTCCTCAAGGAGGTATCATGCTAGATATTCATGATCAATTTCACAGCTCGTTCCCTGCAAGGCAGGGTCTGAGCCACATTCCTCTTTGGGTCTCCTGGAGCTCAGAAGAGAATTGGGCCCAGAGTTGGGTGGATGCTACCTGTGACCCTCTGGGGCTCCCCTGGGCCCCCCAGCATTCCAATCCTGGAAGACTTGATAGCTTCCCCTTCCTGCAAAGAGGCCAGGAATATGCTGGGAGTGAGGGGAGCCTGGCTCAGAGATCCCCGTGCCCCTGGGAGGCACGAAGCATTGGCGTGTTGTTGCCCCATAGCTGCATCTGGTTCACTGGAATGCCAAGAAGTACAGTACTTTTGGGGAGGCGGCCTCGGCACCTGATGGCCTGGCTGTGGTTGGCGTTTTCTTAGAGGTGAGTGGCGGTTTGCTGGGGCCAGGAGAGGCATGGGAAGCCTGGCACTGCCCCTAGTTCTGGAGCATAGTGGGTTCTGGGCTCACACTACCCTCTCCCTGACAGACAGGAGACGAGCACCCCAGCATGAATCCGTCTGACAGATGCACTCTACATGGTCCGGTTCAAGGTAAAGCCCATGTCCCTGACCCAAGCAGCCGGATGGGGAGGGAGGAAGAGGCTGGCTCACAAATTGGGCTCATCCACTCTTTCATTCTGGGAGTAAACCCTTGCTGAGACCAAGGGGGAGTGTCAGCACCAGCAGGGCCCTGCACTTGATGCCTCATCAGGGTCAGCAGCGCTCTTGGGTGCCCAGCATGCAGCCTCGCTGGGCATAGGATTGATAAGATGCTTGTCACATTAATGGTGGTCTAATAGGCAATGTCATTGAGGGCAGCTGAAGGCAAGGGAGGGAACATCATGGCCAAAGAACTCTAGGAGCCACAGCTCTTACATACAAGCAAATGGATGGAGAGGGCCTGGCTCAGGCTGGAAGATGGCATCTGGGATCACAGACATTTGCCCACAATTTGCATCAGTGGGCAAAGAGAAGCCTAAATCCTGCTGCTAGAAATGGGTGGAGAAGGCTGGGTGTAGGGACTCATGCCTGTAATCCCAGCACTTTGGGAGGCCCAGGCAGGCGGGTCACTTTAGGTCAGGAGTTCAAGACCAGCCTGGCCAATATGGTGAAACCCAGTCTCTACTAAAAATACAAAAATTAGCCTGGTGTGGCGGTGCGTGCCTATAATCCCAGCTACTTGGGAGGCTGAGGCAGGAGAATTGCTTGAACTAGGGAGGCAGATGTTGCAGTGAACTGAGATTGTGCCACTGCACTCCAGCCTGGGTGACAAAGTGAGACTCCATCAAAAAAAAAAAAAAAAAAAAAAAAAAAAAAAAAAAAAAGGGAAAGAAAGAGAAAGAAAGAAAGGTGGAGAAGCTGCTGGTTTGGTCCCAGCTGGAGGTCTGTGCTGATTCCTGGGTTCCTCCACCTTGCTTCAGGGCACCAAAGCTCAGTTCAGCTGCTTCAACCCCAAGTGCCTCCTGCCTGCCAGCCGGCACTACTGGACCTACCCCGGCTCCCTGACGACTCCCCCTCTCAGTGAGAGTGTCACCTGGATTGTGCTCCGGGAGCCCATCTGCATCTCTGAAAGGCAGGTGAGTCCTCTCAGTGGACCAGGTGGAGGGGCATGGCACTCAGGGCTCACCCCCGGCAGGGTGACTCTCCAACTAGCAACCCACAGCCTGTGAGCCCACCTTCAAGGTTCCTCCCCATCTTTTGGTAATAAATGTATAGATTCCTGGGTTGCAAGTTAGCTTGATGGTTAATCACCAGAACCTAGACACTGGCTGGGAGGGAGGGATACCTGGATTCTGGGACCCACCCCCACCGTGTTGGAATCTGAATGCTACATTTGCGGATAAGTTTTAGCTAGAACTAGAACTAGGCGAAGCAGGGTCCAAGCCCATTTAGTGAGTAAGTAAGTGAGAGTCCCAAAGAGAAGAATGAGTGGGGCAGAGTAGGGACAAGCCCTAGGAGAAGGAGGAGGGCGGGGTAGAGCTGGCTGGGCAAGTATGCCAGATGATGCATCTGGGGTCATAGAGGACCACAGCACCCCCATTCTGCCCTGAGCATCCCTTCTGCTTCCTCAAGATGGGCAAGTTCCGGAGCCTGCTTTTTACCTCGGAGGACGATGAGAGGGTCCACATGGTGAACAACTTCCGGCCACCACAGCCACTAAAGGGCCGTGTGGTCAAGGCCTCCTTCCGGGCCTGAGCTGCCCAGCCTGCCTAGCTGGCCACTAGGGCACCATCTTCCCAAGGGCTTCCACGTCAGCAGACACCAAACCATCTGAGGCTCCCTCCCTAGGGGGTGCTGGGGACCCTCCTTCAGCCAGTTTGCTCCTTGGTCACCCTAAAGGCTCTGGATGGGACCCTTGAGTCTGGGGCACCCCTCAGCTGCCCTGGGGACAGGAAGGACAGGAGCTAAGCAGGGTTCAAGCCTGGGGCTGCCTCTGCTCTCCAAGACCCAAAGAACCCTGGGAACCTCCTCTGGTCTTCCCCACTGGCAGTGGCAGCAGCCCCACGCCGCGCGCACACTGTGATGGAGGAGTACCGAGCTCCCTGGGGCGGGCAGCTGACACTACCAGAGAGACTCAAGCAATAATCAGAGGTGGGCAGAGCTGCCCTCTCGGCATTACCTCTTCTGCAGGCTCTGTCATGCACGCTCCTCACTGCCAGGCCATGAAAATCAGCACCCAGCATGCTGGAGGTGACGTGGCCTTCTCCCTCCAGCCACCTGCTGCCACAGGCAGGCCCTGGCTATAGCTCATACAGTATCTCCCCTTGTCCCCACCCAGCCACCAAAGCCACCTACATGACAATCCATCCCTGTTGAATTAATAAATTCATGTATCCATGCAACAAATACCAATTGCGTGCTTGTGTGGTTTCTAGCGCCGTCCTAGGCTTTGGGGAGCAATGGTGGTGAGTCAAGCACTGTGTGTTGGGAGGGATATGGGTGGTGAGCAGGTGAGAGTTACACAAAGGCAGGGCAGGGGCTATGGGAGCAGAGAAGAGGGAGAGACCATCTCATTCAGTCAAGAAATGAAATTCTGGCCAGGTGCAGTGGCTCATGCCTAGAGTCCCAGCACTTTGAGAGGCCAAAGCGTGTGGACCACTTGAGCTCAGGAGTTCAAGACCAGCCTGGCCAACATAGTGAAACCCTGTCTCCGCTAAAAATAAAAAACTTAGCTGGGTGGTAACAGCATGTGCCTATAATCCCAGCTACTCAAAAATAAAAAGATTAAAAAAAAAAAAATCCCAGCTACTCAGGAGGCTGAGGCAGGAGAATTGGTTGAACCCGGGAGGCAGAGATTACAGTAAGCTGAGGTTGCACCACTGTACTCCAGCCTGGGTGACAGAGCGAGACTCTGAGAAAGAAATAGGAAGAATGAAGAAGAAAGAAAGAAAGAGAAAAAAGAAAGGAAGGAAGAAAGAAAAGAGAGAGAGAGGGAAGGAAGGAAGGAAGGAAGGAAGGAAAAGCAAGAGAGAGGGAGGGAGCGTTCCAACCAGTATTTGAAGCCAGAGAGAAGGGAAAAATGTGTTTAAGCCAAGGGAAGGGCAGGTGTGCAGGCTCAGAGGTGAAAGAGCCCAGTGTGCTTGCGGGGCTCAAAAGGCTCAGTGGGACTAGAGCCCTGGGGGAAACCTGGGACCCTCTCCCCAGGCTGATGGGGAGCTACCAAGGGCTTATAGTAGAGGAGGGGCAAGGCCAGGCCTGCAGTTGGGGAAGATCCCTGAGGAATGCGGATGGGCAGGCAAGAATGGTGGCAAGAAGCAAGGAGTGGCCATGTCCAGGAGGGAGGGAACAGGGTAGAGGGAGGTGGAGGACAAAGGGCTGGATAATAGGGAGGTGGTGCCCAAAAGACAGTGTTTGGCTGTCCAGGGAAGAGAGGAGTCCAGGGCATATCCCTGGGCAGAAAATGGAGCCTTTACTTGCTCTGGGAACCCTGGGGGAAGCTGGCCACATTGGACAAGCAGCATTGTGGGATCCTGGAAGGAAAATTTAAGGGGGCATGTGCCTTCAGGCCCAGGCCCTGCACACACACAACCCCAGGAGGGAGTGCCTCTTTGTTTTTATTTATGCATTTATTCATTTATTTATTTTCGAGACAGAGTCATGCTGTGTAGCCCAGGCTGCAGTGCAATGGCATGGATCTCGCCTCACTACAACTTCCACCTCCCAGGTTTAAGCGATTCTCCTGCCTCAGCCTCCCGAGTAGCTGGGATTACAGGTGCCCGCCACCACACTCAGCTAATTTTTATATTTTTAGTAGAGTCAGGATTTCACCATGTTGGCCAGGCTGGGATCTCGAACTCATGACCTCGTGATCTGCCTGTCTTGGCCTCCCAAAGTGCTTGGATTACAGGCGTGAGCCACCAAGCCTGGCCTGGAGTGCCTTTTTAAATGTGCATCCTCACCCTAGTCCCCAGTCCAAGTCCAGAGAGTGCCCAAGGCAAGTTCACAGTTGGGCTTAGAGACCAAGTGATGATTGTGACCCAGATGAGACAGGGGCAGGGGCAAGAGGCAGACACTGGGGGTGCTGAGGAGTGAGGGGGGTGAGAAACTGGGACCTCAAATGTATAAGTTTAGTTGTGAAGGGGGAGAATGGGACAGTGGAGGGGCGGTGGGGAGACAGGCATGTCTGAACACCCTTGGGAAGGAGGTCCCACTGCAAGCCCAGGAGGGGCTGCTGGTGCATGTCATCTGCTCACTTTGGTTACAGCTCTTGTCATTGTCACTATACCAGAAGGGAACTTTCAGGCCACAGGGCACTTTTGGGCCTGAGACCTCTAACTTTGACCTCAGTGACGGTGGGAAGGGAGAGGCTTGCTCTATGGCCCTCCCTCCCACTCCCATGCTTAGGACAAACTTGTCTCCGGAGTGGGCAGGAGTGGGTGTACAGGAGGAGCCGGCCAGATAGAGAGTTACCCCTGCAGGCACCCGTGGCCTGATCTAGATAGGGGCCATTTTCTCTCTCCACTTTTTTTTTTTTTTTTTTTTTTTTTTGAGATGAAGTCTCCCTCTGTCAATAGGCTGGAGTGCAATGGCATGATCTTTGCTCACTGCAACCTATGTCTCCTGGGTTCAAGCAATTCTCCTGCCTCAGCCTCCCAAGTAGCTGGGACTACAGGTGTGTGCCACCATGCCCAGCTAATTTTTGTATTTTTAGTCGAGATAGGGTTTCACCATGTTGGCCAGGATGGTCTCCATCTCTTGACCTTGTGATCTGCCTGCCTCCACCTCCCAAAGTGGGATTACAGGCATGAGCCACCGTGCCCAGCCCCTTCCTCCACTTTTGAGGAGATGGTGAGCTCGGGGAGAGGTGTCTGGAGGACAGCATTTGCTCAGCTTGGAGGCAGGCAGCTGTGGCAACAGGGAAGCAATGACAGTAACGTGCCTATTAAGACAGGCAAAGGGACTGGGGCAGACATCCAGCTCTCCCTGTGATCCAAGAACTGTTGTTACTCCCATTTTACAGATGAGGATGAGAAGGCTCAGAAAGTTAGGTAAGCAGGTCACAGAGCAGGATTTGAAGCTGGATCTGTCCAATAACTCTTCTACTCTATACCAGAGCAACTGGGCTCAAAGGAGGGTGGGATGGGTATGGTGGTGGCCATCTGGAGGTGATATAATAGCCCCCTAGCTGCTGACTGGGCCAGGGACCCTGTCCAGTCCCTCCCAGGGATGGTGGCAACACAGGCCTGGCACTGTAGAGGACTTGGAAAATGGGAGCTGGTTTTATAATAATTATCCTTAGGCTGCCAAGAATCCTCACTCCCTAAGTCCTTTCCCTTAATTCACTTTTTAAATTTAAAACTATTTTAAAGCTGAAAGTGGCCTCCTTATGTTATAATCACAGCCCCAGATTTGACCCTATTATATTGAAATGGGATGTCCCAGATGGATCCCAGCACACCTGGTCTCAAGGGACCCAGGACCGAATCCTGAGTCCTCATCCAGGGCAAGATTTTTTCCCGGAGGTGATGCTGTAGACATTTGGGACACCCAAGACAAGATGGGCTCTACTTGCTCCCAAGACTCCAGACACGCCCTCCCCGGGCAGCCAGGAGTGGCCCTCAGATTAAGCCAGGCAGGACTGTGGGCCCATCAGCAGCCACAGCCTGCAGAGTCTATGCCCAGGTGAGGGTCACAGTCTTCCCTCCAGTGCAGGCCATGGGCCCCAGAGCAGGTCCTTTCTATGGAGCGGGCCTCAGGCGATGGGATGGCTGTGAAGACCCGATCCCCCTGAAGCTCCTTCTGCAGAGGGCTGGCTTCCAACCCCATGGTCACCCTATAGCTGCTGCTGCTGCTGCAGAGGCTTGGGAGTGTCTCCTAATAGCTAGCTCTGGATATACACTTGCTGGTGTGCTCATCAGTGGGGAGAGTGATCTGTGGCCTGAGCAACAGTTGGAGACGGCCAGAAATAGGTCCACAGTAGAGGTTGCAAGATAACCTGATGGTGGATGCCTGGAAGAGGGCCACAGCTGATATCCAAACTAAGAGGGTTTCAAGCAGGACAGAAGGCTTTCGGTTACAGCTGGAGCTGACCTGGGATTGGGGAGAGGGGTCAGACAACAGCCTGAGCATCTTGGGGACCCTCCCACATCCGTAGGTCACAGCACCAACTCTGAGGCCAAATATACTACTGGTTGGTCAAGATTCAGGGGGAGGAGGAGATGTGACTCTCTGAGCACGAAATGTTCTGGCATTTATCCCCTAGCCAGAGGCAAGACCTAGGGAATGTATCTCTTTTGAAGACTCATCAGCTTACAAATCCAAGGGCGCACTTACCGGCTCATACCTGGGCTTTGTACCACATGCCTCTCAAGCCCTCTGAAGCTTATTTCCTCCTCTGTAAAATGGAAATGACATGTGAGCCACATCTATAATTTATAATTTTTGAATAGCAATATCAAATATATAGAAAGAGCCATAAGGCTGGGCATAGTGGCTCACGCTTGTAATCCTAGCACTTTGGGAGGCCAAGGCAGGAGGATCACTTCAAGACCAGCATGGGCAACACAGCAAGACCCTGTCTTGTAACAGGAGACAAGACTTGTAAAGGAAGACTTGTAAAAAGAAACAAGTCATCTAAATAATATACTTCATTTAGCCCAATTATATCCAAAATATATGCATTTTAATCTGTCATTAATATTAACAGAAAAAAACTACTAATGAAA